GGAGGGAAAAACACCGCGCGGGTGGAAAACCTCCTCTTCCCAAGTCGGGCACGTGACAGATATGAAGTGAACCCGGCCGTGCACAGAGGAGCACACGCGGCCCGATTCTGGCAGAAGCTGAAGGCGGCAGTATATATACATATATATACACCTATATGACCACCCTTCGGGTGATAAGGAGGTTCGGGGGGGGGAGGAACTAACGTCTCACTCGATCGGTCTCACTATCGATCTCACGATCGATCTCACTATCGGTCTCGCTCGATCGATCTCACTCGATCGATCTCACAATCGATATCACTCGATCTGTTTCATTCGATCGATCTCACAATCGATCTGACGATCGATCTCACAATCGATCTCACTATCGATTTCACTATCGATATCACATCGATCTCACATTCGGTTTCACTATCGATATGACAATCGATCTCATAATCCACGTCAACATCATCAACAACATCATCGTCATCAACGTCATCATCAACATCATCATCATCGGGACACCATCATCATCACCTCATCACCAACATCATCATCATCATCATAACCATCGTCATCATCATCGGGACACCATCATAGTCACCATCACCATCATCATCAACATCATCATCGGGACACCATAATCATCATCAGCATCGGAACACCACCATCATCATCATCTCATCATCATCATGAACAACATCACCAACATCATCGTCATCGTGACACCATCACGCTCATCAGCAACATCGTCATCAACATCATCATCATCATCATCATCATCATCATCATCATCGGGACACCAGCATCATCGTCACCATCATCTTCATCACCATCATCATCATCACCAGGACACCATCATCATCAAAATCGGGACACGATCATCATCGGGCCACCATCACCAAAACCATCATCATCATCTCATCAGCATCCTCATCATCAACATCATCATCATCATCGGGACACAATCGTCATCATCATCATCATCATCGGGACACCATCATCATCATCGGGACACCATCATCATCACCATCATCATCAACAGCATTATCATTAACCTCATCATCACCATCGTCATCGGGACACTATCATCATCATCACCTTGTTCATCATCATCATCATCAACATCATCATCATCATCATCATCTCATCATTGTTTATCATCAATATTGTCAGGATCATCAACATCATCATCATTATCATCGGGACGCCACCATCATTATGAACAACATCCGCATCATCTACATCATTATTTGGACACCATCATCATCACCACCATGGCCATCATCATCACCACCATCATCATCATCAATATCGTCAACATCATCATCATCCTCGGGACACCATCATCATCACCACCATCTCCATCATCATCATCAGCATCATCGACATCAACATCATCATCATCATCATCATCATCTTCATCATCATCATCATCATCATCATCATCATCATCATCATCATCATCATCATCATCATCATCATCATCATCGGGACACCCACGGGACACCGGCGGGACACCGGCGGGACACCGCGCGGCACCGGCCCCTGGAGAGGAAACATTTGGTACGGCCGCGCTCAGCCGGAGGCGGGACACCGGCGGGACACCGCGGGCCACCAGCCCCCGAAACGGAATCATTTGGTCGGGCCGCGCCTCAGCCGGAGGAGACTTTCTTCTCGCCCGCCCACGCAGCTTCGCTTCGCCCGCACGCACGGCACGCACGAACACGAAACCAAAACTCAAACCGATTTCCCGGTAGGGGGGCTCTCCGTCCCACTTCGATCTCATCCCCTCACCTCCGATATGTATGGATACATATATATATATATATATATATATATATATATATGGAGGCGCCCGAGCAAGACGCTCGGGGGAAGATGAAACGGCCACGCTGCGGGCTGGCAGGTCCACGATCGATCAGATAATCGCCAAACTTCCCTGCCCGTGCAAATTGGCTCTAAGCGGCGGTGACCCCTGTAGGGGCATCCGCGGGCTGCGCATCTGCCGCAGGGCGCGGCAGGCATAGAGCGCGCGTGCGTCCTTCGCCCCGCGCAACGCGGCCGCGGTTGGACGCCGCGTCGGCCCTGTCGGCTGTCGGCTTCAGCAACCTGAGAGGCGGAAAACATAGAAAGATCTCAGATCTCCCCGCATCATCCGGGCCCTTCACGGCTTGCTGGAGAATGGAGGTGGTGAAGTGCGCGGGGCGGGTGTGAAAGTCAATTGAGCAAGTTGGGCACTTCGTGCTAAGGATGTGGTACCGCGCAGGCATCTTTATGCCGTGCGCGTGTCTCCTGTGGGCGACCAGGCCATTGGGGCCGCGGCATTCCTTCTGGCACTCAGGGCACGTCAGAATCGGGACTGGTACGGCCAGCCGGCCAGGCGGTGGAGGCCGCTTTCCACGCTGCCGTCGTGAGGTCGTCTGGGACTGCGCCACGTCACATGAAGAAGCGCACAATCCATGACGAAGGCGCCTCCACCTTGCGGGATCCGACACAATGAACTCGCGCCGGATACGAGGGAAGTGGTACGGGTCTCCGAGGGTCTGGGTCTTTGTCGGAAAAGCGGTTGCCAGCTGCCCGAGGTCTGCCAAGAGCTGCTGGGCAGACACGGGCTTGTGCTCAGCGGCGATGCAGCGAAGCACAAGCGGCGGAGCTCGCAGTTGCGAGCTCAGGTCTGCAAGGCTTTGCACCCGCACCGGAGAGGTCAGCGGAGGCGCTTGCAACGCGGTCCGCATCTCGAAGTCCGACGGTGTGCCAGAGGCCCCGAAACACATCGAGCCGTGAATGCGACGCAGCACTCGGTGGTGCTGGGCCTCGATCGGGAGTCATCCCTTGTCCATCTGACCACGCCATACCGATACGATGATGATCATGATGACGATGATGATGGTGGTGATGGTGATGATGGTGATGATGATTATGATGATGATGATGATGATGATGATGATGATGACGACGATGATGATGATGATGATGATGATCATGATCATGATTATGATGATGATGATCATGATGAAGATGATGCTGATGATTATTATTAGCATTGGTATTATTATTTTACTTGTATTAGTATTCTGATGATGGTGGTGATGATGTTAGTGATAGTGTAGATGACGGTCATGGTGGTGGTGATGATGATGATGATGATGGTGGTGGTGGTTATGGCGGTGATGATCAGGAGGAGTCGGAGGAGGGTGATGCTGAAGCTTGATGATGATGATGATGAGGAGGAGGAGGAGGAGAAATAGAAGCATGAACAATGTTTCGGAGCGGTTTCGCCATGCCGGAGGGGCCGTGCTACACCCAACGACGCGGGCGCGCCCCAAACCAGGCATTGAAGCTCCTGACCTGACATGCATCTGCGTTGATAGTGGCTTCGCAACTCATTTAATCGTTTCGCTCATTCCGCCGGCCCGTATTATGCCCTCGCTGGCGTTTGGGCTTTTGGGGGCCTTTTGGGGTCCTCTTTGGGGGTTTCTTGGGGGCCTCTTGGGTTTCTGTTGGAGCCTCTTTGGGGTTTCTTGGAGCTCCTTTGGGAGCAGTTGGTCGCATTTTGGGGCTTCTGGGAGCCGCTGGGGAGCCGCTGGGGGGCTTCTTGGGGGCTATCTCGAGGGCCTTTTGGGGGCCTCCTGGGGCTTCAAAGGGGCCTCTTGACGCCTCCTGGGGGTCTCTTAGGGCCGAGGGCTCGAAATGTTGTTTCGTGTCCCGCCTCTGGGGCTTCTCTCAGAGCGTTCTTGGGGCCCTCTTGAGCCGTCTTGGAGGCCTCTTGGGCCGTCTTGGAACCCTCTTGGGCCGTCTTGGGGCCCTCTCGGAGGCCTCTCGGGCCTCTTAGGGCGATCTTGGGGGCCTCTTGGGCCGCCTTGGGGCGTCGCGATGCCGAAAAGGTGGAGACGCCCAGATCTTCCCCCAAACCTAAGGAAACACAATGAATTTTGCTTCTTGGGGCCCTCTTGGGAGTCTCTTGGGGCTCCTTGGCGGCGTCTTGGAGGCCCCCAGGCAGGGCCTCTTGGGGGGCTCTTGGAGACTTCTTAGGGCGGGAGGGGGGGTAGTCGATTGCGGCTCCCCCCTCGGAGGCCACGATCCTCGTGAGGGGTGTCGAAAAATGGCCCTCACCTGGTGTGCTCTGGTGGCTCCTCCCGGGACCTTGCCGGGATACTTTTCGTCCGGGGACCCCCAGGGCCGCCCCGCGCGCGCGAGCTAGAAATATTGTGAACCAGTTACCAGAGATCTTAGCACGCCTCTGGCTCGTTGGGCCAGCGAACTTTCGACGGGCCCACGCGTCTCCAGCGCACAACTGTCGCGGGATAGGGAGGAGGAGGAGGAGGAGGAGGAGGAGGAGGAGGAGGAGGAGGAGGCGGAGGAGGCGGAGGAAGAGTTGCGGCGGCGGCGCGTTCGCTCCGCCCGCTCCTTCCCCTCCTATCGTTGCCCCCGACCACGTAGAGGGCTATGCCCCCATTGTTCGCGCTGTGGGCGCCCCCCGCGCGACGTTGCGATTCGTAGTGTTTGCTGTTTTCTGTGGCCTGGGGGGAATTGTCTTCCGTCGCTTTCGCTCGATGAGCAGGCCTCGGCGTGTCGTACATGGATGCGGTTCCGCTTCGCGGCGTGGCGGCCACCACGAGCATTGAGGGGAGCGGGGCTGCGCTGGAGGCAGGGTGGTCGGAAAATGAACAGCACAGATCTTCGCACCACCAGCGGCCCCCGCCGCCGCCGACGCCCGCTCCTGACACTTGACGCGGCCGAAGGCCACTCGGGGCAACAGCACCGCCGTCTTGAAGCCTCTGGCGAGCTCCAGCGCTGCTGGACCGCCGGGCCCAGACCCCGAGGGCCGGCCAACGCCACCGAGAGCACCTCAGAACCTCCTCGACCCTCGCCGGCTGCCGTTGCTGCCCGCCGCTGCCGTCGCCGCCGCGGCCGCCGCCGCGGCCGCCGCCGCCCTCGCCGCTGCCGCCGCCGCTGCCCCGCCGCCGCCGCCGCCGCTGCGCCGCCGCCGCTGCCCTCCGCCGCGCCGCGGCGGGCGCCGCCCGGCCTCGCCGCACGGCGGCGCGCCCGCCATGGGCGCCGCGCAGCCGGCGCCGGGCCGCCAGGGCGGCGGGGAGGCGGCGCCGCTGTGGCCCTGCGCGGCCGCGCGGAGGGGCCTCGGGGGAGCGGGGGGAGGGCAGAGCGAGCGCCTCGCGGAGGGCCGCGCGGCGCTGGCGGGTCGGCGCCGGGCCCCTGCGCGCGCCTCTGGCCGCCCCCCTTTCGCGCGGAGGAGTGTGCGCGGAGGGATTTGTCCGCAGTTTTGTCGATTTCCTCCTCCTCCTCCTCCTCCTCCTCCTCCTCCTCCTCCTCCTCCTCCCCCTATTTCTACGCTTCTGGCTCCCGTCCCACTCTCTCTCTCCGACTGCGAAGGCCTCGGCGACGACGACGACGATGACGAGCTTCTGAGCGGCCGGTCCATCCTTGACGGGGGCCCCGGCGCCCACCCGCTGCACCCGCGCAGGGACCGTCCAGAGGTTCAGGTAGGAACCGCCTTGTCTGGACACGTGCATTGCTGTTCTCAGGGCTTGCGAGAAGAATATGATCCCCTGTGCCTTGGAGAACCCACAGACCTCTGGGCTCTGGCAGGATCCCCATCTCAATCGTGCAGTCGCAGAGCTCAGTAGGACCACGATTATTCAGTGCGCCTTCGGAACCAGATACCGCAAGGCGACCGATATGTCATTTCAGAACTTTGTTGATGTTGACTTTCTTCGGACGGAGTCCTGGACATCCCGCTGCACTGGCAAACATGGTTTCTGCAGTTTTAGGCATGATAAGAAACACCTCACTCTTATTGGTTCGTCAAGGACCAGCAAAGCTTCTCAATACCCTTCTAGGTTTTGCGATTTCCTGGCGAGGGCTCTTCTCCAGAGTCGTCTCTGACGCCACTCCGCCGTCCCAGGATCCTGACCTCGTGGGGTCGTTGGGCCCTTTTTTATGAGGGGCCTGCCGCTTCGCTGTGAACTTCCGTTCTTGCGTAAGGGTCTGGGTTTTAAGCCACAGCCTTCAAAGCATATGCCTCTGCCGGCTCTGCCATCAAACGTTCACCGCAGAAAAATGAGCAGCATTGTTCTGCGTTGCAGGTGGTAGCTCAGAAGTTTTCAATTGTCGTCGCATTGTTGTTCAAGCTACCCCCCCCCCCCGACCTCACCCGCCTGAGCGCTCTGTCTGGGAGTATGGATTTTAAGCCACAGCCTTCAAAGCATTTGCCTCTGCTGGCTCTGCCATCAAACGTTCACCGCAGAAAATGAGCAGCAGTTGTTATTGTAGTTTGGAGGCCAACAACGCAGTTGGGTGACCCGCCATGTTCCCTTCAAAAAATATTATGCGGCCCCGGGAGAAGCATTTTAAATGAAGAATGCAATGTTTACCAGAAGGGGATCAGTAACACTGGTTTTTAGAACTGAGAAAACAGTAATATCGACTATACCAACAACAACAATAACAGCAGCAACAACAACAACAATAACGACAACAACAACAACATCGACAACAACCACAACAACAACAACAATCCGCACCGCGAAGGCCCACTTCAGCCACGCACCCAGGGGCAGTGAATGACCGTTCGACCCACTCACTCTGATTGTTTGTAGAAGTTAGGCGCCTGCGGTGGGCTTCTTCAGAGCTTCGCAGACTACAGACGTCCCCGCCGCCCCCATCACTCTTATCCGTAACTGCGGGATGCTACGTACTGGCATGCGTACCATCATCTATGCGGGGCGTCACGCCATCTTGGTGCCCGCGGCAGGGCCCACTGTGGGGCCAAACCGCAGTCCGATGGATTCCTGATGTCGGGTTGGCAAAAGTGGGCCCCGCATCAGGACGGAGGTTAATGATCATGGGGGGCAGAATAAACGATCGCCTGAGGATGCAGAACTTGTTCCCCGAGTTTCGGCCACGCTCACAGGATAGATTTCTCCCATCGCAGAAGGAGAGGTAACGAGGGACGCAGTGGGAAGGGTGAGGAGGAGAATGGCAGGATGAGGAGGAGGAGGAGGAGGAGGAGGAGGAGGACGAAGAAGACGACTCCCGCCCGTTGAAGCGCCGTTGGAGGCCACCGTGAAGCACCCTAGACTTTCACCGTACCTCGGGGTCGTCAGGTCTAGCCGCCCGCCCCAGCGGCCAAAAGGCCACCGGCAGCTTTGACTCCAATCTGTGCCTGCATTCCCGCCCATTGGCCGAGCCAATTGCTTCCGAAATGATGTTGTATGATGAGTTTTCTTTCATGCGTCTCTTCTTCGGGCTCGTGGGGGCCGATTCGTGGCACCCAGCCTTGACCTGATCGTTGAGCCCTCCCGATGTCCAGGCCTCCTACACGGCGCAGGTTGGGCCCCTGGATCTCACCGCATCGCAGATGCATCGACGATGCGGCGCAGTCCAGGCACTTGCTTCTGTAGGTGGGATCAGAGAAGCGATGCATTTGGCTTGTGAATGGGATTTCGTTTGTTGTTTTCGATATGTAGGAGTGGATGAACCTTACGTATGCCGCCTCCTCTCCTCCTCTTTGGACCACAACCACAATCAGCCCCAGATACAAATTACACCCGTCGCGTCTCTGATGGGGGGGATGATTGAGGAGGAAGAGGAGGAGGAGGAGGAGGAGGAGGAGGAGGAGGAGGAAGAGGAAGACAACAATAATAATAATAATGATAAGAAGAAGAAGAAGAAGAAGACGCAGGAGGCGGAGAGGAGGAGGAGGAGGAGGAGGGGGAGGAGGAATATCAGTGCGAACCCAAGATTCATCAACGATATTGGAATCAACCATCCCTCCAAGCTCCCTTCTCACGGGCCCCTACAAGGGTTCATGTTCACTGAGGCAAGTGGCCCGTTAGAAGGCAATCATTTAAACATCCTGAGCTGCGCCAGAGCACCATTCCTGGGACTTCAGCGCAGCTAATCCCTGTGACTGTTGCGTCTTGACGATCCTGAGTCGTGCCAGAGCACCATTCCTGAGACTTCATCGCCGCGAATCACCGCTACTGTTGCGTTTTGTCTGGTCCTGAATCATGCGAAAACTCAATGTCTGGGACGTTTACCGAGTCATTGAAACCGCTGTAAGCTCTTAAAACGAATGTGCGCGGCGCCAAGGCGAGAGCCACATCTTGAAAAGGAGCCGCCCTCCCTCCGT